TTGTGCTTATTTTTATGTCGTGCTTTAAAAATATTATTAACTATTATACATGCCAGTTATTTATGGAGTCATAATGGCATTTTGTGTAAATATATGTTAAGAGAATTTATATTTTGTTTTTAAACCACAAGAAAAGTATAAATATAGCTATGATTTTTAATTTTGCATTTCATAAGCTATTCGGCTGGACTTCTATTGTCCATATTGACTGATAGGCTACTGTTGAGTATCAAGCACGGATTCACATAATAGGCAAAATTGATGTTGAGTATATCTATTAAGTTCTGGTTCTTCGCCAATTTAATTTTGTTTTTTTATATTTTAATTTCGTGGTATTTACTTTTTTTAGATAAAGAATCAGCAGAAAGTCACTTCAAGGTCAACTTTAAAGGACAATATATTAATTCTGATGAGAATTTTAATTATGTTGCGGTTAATTTCATTTAATTAATATTCCTTACAGTTTTAATATAGATATTATTGTGTCTTTATAAATGAAAATAAAAATGACACAAATTTAAAGTAAAAGCTGATTGAATAACCGAGGCGATTAAATTAAGGCATGAGACTGCTGTTTTGGGGATCCGGGATTGAATCTAGACAATCAATAAACACCAAATTTTTTCAAGGGTGTCTGTTCCTGATATATCAATTTCCCACTTCCCTGTTGGCCTGTCCCATTGTGGGCTAACAGAACCTAGGATGGGGTTGTTAAAGGGTCCTCTGAGTGCTCAGAAAGCTGATAGAGATTTTTTTAAAGTAAAATACACGAAAAAACTATAAAATCTTAAATATTTTGGTAAAGTTATTTAAAAACGTTACAAAATCGTTTATTAATTAAATGTAGCAAAAATAATTGTAAAGATAGAATATATTTATATGTAGTATTGATAAAATCGAAATTTATTCTAAAACTTTCGAATTTTTCACTTTTTAAATTATACAAAATTTTAAAGAATAATTATTTTTAATTATAATTGGAGAATTGTCAAGTGTGCAAGGTTTTCCTCTTAATATCATCAAGGCCAAGTTTGAAAATACTGACGTTAGCAGTTGAAAGATTAATGTGTAAGATCTCTTGTATGCCCATAGAATACCTAAAATATCTCCTAAAAATTATTATATTTCCAAATATATCTTTAAACAATAGTAAAATGCTAGTAAAACATTTAAGTTATAATTTTATCTATCAATGAGCAAATCTTTAAAAAAAACTATTAGATTTCATTTATAAATTTGCATGAATTTAAATATTAATTTTATTAACAATTAATTTTTTAGTGTNTTATATTATTTTAATATAAAATATAATATTATATTTGCTACTATTTTATAAAATAATAAACATTGTTGAATGCAAAATTAACAATGCAAAATCAGAAACTGAAATTTTTCATAACCTCTGTTAACTTCCGTTGATCATAATTAAAAGATATTTAGCAGTCAAAATGCAATCAAATCTGTTATGGTGACATATCAGGACACGAGGAAGACATTTCCGTAAAATATATTAATACTGAAGCTCACCACTACTGCATTTTTGGCGCTGAAAACAGCAAACAGTTCATTTGTACTGTACAGTACATGACACTCGTGGTATACAAAGACCTTAGCGATTTAGAGAATACCGTTCAATGTGTTCTCCTTTTTGAAGGAGAACACATTGAACAGTATTCACGAAATTCCTTTTTGAAGGTGTAAAACGTAAAGGTGATGAGCAATATATTAAATGACTGACATTAATTGATTCTACATGATGCTTTTCACATGCAACGTAGTACTTCAAGGACTGCCAAATTTGCAACATATTCTCGAAAAATCACACTTCTCAAATATCTCCAGAAATTAAACTAGGTTTCCCCCCCCCCTCTCTCGCAGCGCCAAAAATAGCCGTATTGTTCAGTTTCTGTACTAATTTTTTAATGGAAATATTTATGTATTATCTGAAATGTACAGTACAATACCAGAGTTGATCACATTTGGCAGCTAAATATACTATTAGATAGCGTTGAATGAAGGTACTTTATCGAGTATTTTATTATTAATTACTGCAGTTTTACAGAATAAGACCTTCTAACAATCCTTCCTGGCCACTTCTAGCGTACGTCCAAAGCCTTTAACGAGGTCAAATATTATTTTATAGAAGAAAATATTTCAGTAAATTTAGTCTTTTTAACTTTGTGTAAATTTTAATCATTTTTATGAAAATGTTGACTTAAAATTTCAATTAAAATATGAAAAATTTAATATAAAAATAAATCTATTAGCGTTACTCTCGTAATAGTGTACACGTGTAAGTACTGGAAAGGTATAGGAAAAACAATATCGAAGAGATTTATAGGTAACCAGTTATAGGGAAGTAATTACGGTAATTAAGTTACGTATTTCCTTAGTTTATTTGACTCCATGTTAAATGCAGTACAGGCTTTACAACTAATAAAACTTCTCACACTTACCCTATTATCTACTTAAGCAGCGTACTACGCTCTCAAGATTGATAATAAAAATTAAAAAAATAGCAATAAAATAATATAAAAAATTTGTTTATAATTATTTTTATTCATATTTTATAAAATTTACTGTATACTTTTTTAATGTATAGTTTAAAATACGTTAGAGTAGATTATAATTAAATAAGAATTAAACGCTAAAAATACCACTTAAAATTATTTTAAATTTCTTTACTTGTAAGGAAACCCAAATTAATATATTTAATAATAATAATTTTTTAAATAAAAATATCAAATTTTTCTGTTAAAAATTAAATAATATTTTATAAATTTCTTATAAGGTCATAAAATGTTACATTGTTTTAATATCTTTGATATGAACCACTTTCAGATGTTTAATTAAATTTTTATACTTTATTTAAAAATTGTTATAAATATTCATTGATTTAATAGTTTTAATATTACATAATATACAGTAAAACCTGTGAACAACGGCCACTGACGTAAACATTAAAATATGGCCGTTGTTCGGAGATTATTTTGTATGTAACATAACATACAGTACCTGAGAATAGTGCCGTTTAGAGATGGCCGTTTTAGGAGATTCGATTGTAATATTAAACAAATGATTATACAGTAAAATCTGTGTAAACCGGATTCGCACGGTACCGAATATTTTTTCCAGTTTTGACAGGTTTTACTGTATATATATATGTGTGTGTGTTTGTGTGTGTTAATGTAATAACATTTATTTATATAAATCCTACGTTTAAAATGTATAAATATAGAGAATATTGTCGAATTTTTTTTTATGATTTTAGCAATTTAAAATCTATTTTATACTATTGAATTAAACATTGAATTATTATAGATTACTTGTATTATACAAGTAATCTATAATAATTCAATAGAAACATTGAGGACATGTATAGATTATATGTTAAATAAATATTAAAATATAGTATAATTATAGTCTTAAACATAGCCAATATAAGAATGTTCTGTTTAGTATTAACATTTTATGACACTTATTCAGTTATCTTTATTGTTCTTTAATGAGTACGAGTGAAAATGAATAAGGTATATTTAGAATATAAGCTAATTTTTGATATAATGTATCTACAAAACTCTATAAAATCCAAAATAATTATATATATTAATTTATAACAAGTTATTTGAAATGTGTAAATTAAAAAATTCATTAAAAATGATCAGATAATTAATAATAATTGTACTGTAGTGTACAGAACATAAGCAAATTTTTTCCTTTATCCTTTAATTTAATCTGATACAAGCTATTTAATAACTCTAAGCTCTAAAGGAAATATTGCACAATTGTAAACTACTAGATTTGTTTTTTAGATTAATAAAAATACTTCTATACTTTATATTAAACAAAGCAATTAATTATTTTATAATTATGCATATATTCTAGAATCATTTCCTCTAGAGTTTACCTTCGAGAAAAGTAAAACTTGTTGGAATTTCATGACAATTTCGGCTAATTTTTACCGATCATTTTTCACGAAATTGTTACTCTTGTTGCTGCATACTTAGCAATACGTTTCTTATGCCCCACGTTTCCTAGTACGGAGACTTTTTTCTGTTCTATAAAAAGTAAGGAGGAAAATAAATAAATAAGTAATGACCATTAATGTGTGTATTTCATTGAATATCTTTTATTATTTTAAATTAGATGTTGGTTACAAGGTTAAAATGGACATGAAAAGTACATCTTTAGTGATGATACTACTGATGTCACAAGTGTATTAGGTGACGAAATTTGGTTAAGGACGGGTAAATAAGCAGGAAATTTAAATTTAGAAAGTATATAGGTTTAATTGTAATAATAAATAATTAATTTAAGAAATATACAAGTTTAGGAAAAATTATTTTTAAAAATAAAATAAAAATTCATTGGTTTTATTGTTAAATTTTTAGCTGTACATTGCTTAGAAAGAACAATTCAAAATTCTATAGACGATTATATATTATTATAGTATAGTATATTGCTATTTTTTATATAACATATCGAAAACAATACAATTACTAGAATCGAATAACACAATTTTATGATAGGTCGTGGGGGGATTGATCGTAAATGTTTGATTGATTTTTCAAATTAAATTCAATCAAAATTTAAAAAATAAAATAAAATTTTAATCTATATATATATATAATGTATATATGTGTATTTTTAATAAACTTTCAGCGGAAAAAAAAAATTGATAATGTAAAATTCATCTTTCTTTTCAAGAAAAGCATATTTAATTTGAAGAAACACGTGTTTGGGATTGATTTTTCAATATATCAGTGATTACAATATTGTACATTAAGTGTTCAAATATTAATACACTATTCTAAACGCGTGTGTATAATGTTCAGTGCCAAATTTTCGCAACAAATAAGAAAACCTTGGTTGTGGAAACGCAAAAAATATCCAGATAAACCGGTAACTTTTGCACGTAATATCCTTGAACATTCGCTAATGAGTTTACGCGCAAACTCCTCAGCATCTGATTTTAAGCATTCATTCTCTTGAAAACTGGCTACGGGCCAGTCACGTGGTCGATTCCTCACCGCTTACTTTTCTTTGGGGGAGCATCCATAAAGGCTTAATTCGACCGAATATACGAGAAGATTTTAAGCAAAATGTGGAGAAAAATTATTTTTATATTTGTTATTTTTCTATTATTTGTGAACGTTTACGGTAATTCGATACAAAATCGTAATTTAACCGAAGAAGAAAAAGTATACGAGATATGGAAACAAGGTGAAAAATCAGTCAGTAAACTCGTCGATTCTCTTGTAAAATCAATATTACCTTATGGAATGAGGCTCATCTCGGAAATTAAATTATCTTCTGGATGTCAAAGTTCGATTATGCGCTGGATATTCGATTTGAGAAAGTTGAAAATGTCGGCCGTTGAACGTAAGTAGAACAATAAAAAAAGGAATATTTATTTATTTATCTACAAACATATAAAAATGTAGGATATTATTTGCATATTATAACTCTCTCTTTGCTTAAAAATAAATTTCTGATTTTTATTGAGGCGCGAGGATGCAAAATCACATAAAATTCGCATTTTATATAGTTCTATATGGGTCTTTACACTAATTAATGATATAAAAACGCTTCGTGAATGTAAAAATTATGCTTTAGCCTACATTTTAACTAATTTTTCCTACTTTAAATCTACGTTTTACCATTTTTAAATTAGTGTTAAGCGTGCATTTACCTTATTCATTTTCACTTGTTCATTATTAGCGACGTTATGTTTGTTATATTTTAACTAGTTCTTTTAAATATTTTAAACTGACAGTTACTATGAGTTTAAAGGTATTTTTGGTGTCAATGTTAACGTGCATACTCATTAACTTTTTATGTTTTTGCTACATTTTCCTGTCAATATAAAGGGAGTTACTTACTTTCCTTTTCTTTAAATATTACGTTTTAACTATTAAAAAATTATGTTTATTCGTAATTTTATTAGTTAGTTGAGTTGCAGACGTTTAAGAATTAGCCTATTGTGCAATTTTTTGACAAAAATACATTAATAAAATTCAAATATTTTTGATTTTTAAGTACGAAGTTTAATTATCTTAAACTTATTTTTATTATGAAATCGGCAATTCTCGAGTAATATACATTTCTCGTAACTTTTTCATCACACTTTTCCTTTTAAAAGTTGTTGATTTATTTTCTCTTTTGGCTTTTATATTTTAAAATATAATTTAAATTACTGATATGCTTTTTCCTAATAAAGATTGCGAAGAAGTTGTGATCCGGCGACATTTTATTTTAAACAAAAAATAAATCCAGAACCTTGATCCATTTGATTCAATTTAAACATTGAAATTTTATCCTAAAAGTCAATTTTTCAGCGTCCAAAACAACTTCTAATTTGCATAATTTAAAATATGAATATGAATGTAACCTATATGAGCAATGGCAAGCTTTAATCAGCTGCGAAACATAAACAATGCTTATAGACGTAATTAAGGTTTTTTTAATCCCCCAAAAATTCCTACAGTTCAAGACCTTTTGTATTATCTTTCACGATAAACCATTACTGAAAAAAACAGAAAAAACTTTAACAATTTTTAAATCAAGGTTGTATTAAGATAGGTTAACTTATCGCCGTATATCCTTGGAGTTATAGATATCATTTAAAGCAATAAAAAGGTTTAAAGTTGGTCAAGGTATATCATTTTATAAAAGATTAAGATGAGATTAAGGCTTAAGGCAAATATTTAGGTACAAAAATTATTAATATTCAGGTAAATATTAATAATTTTTGTACATAACAGATAGATATTTTACTCAAATATTACTGATTATTCACGTTACTCAGTGTGTAAGTAAGTCACTAGACACACAGGTTTAACTACGATTAAACATGCAATAAACGTTTAATTAATTCATATAAGAAATAGGATATAGAAATTGACATGGATTAATACTATAAAAACACCATTTTAATTACTCATTTCAAGGTCGAGTGAGTGATTTTTTCCCACTACAGAAACGAGGAAGGTAGACGGAATTACAATGTCAGATACTGGATTACCTGTCCGTTTTATACAGGATTTACAAGATACTTAAAACACGAGACAAGTTTTTCTTCCTCCTTTTGTTATTGATAATTTCTCTAATAGCGGAATAATCCACGTTTACACATCCTTTTGCATGTATCCGTCTTTCCTTTTCATAGAATTTCAATATTCCGGTTTAAAATGTATAATTTAAACTATTTTCGAGCCAATCAAATTAAAGAATTCATTGAAGATTCTTTGAAGTTTTTCAAGTGAATTTTCTCAGAATGTGTCTATCAGCTGTTTGTTTACATGAATAATAAAAATTTTACCGGAGGGAAGAAAATGAATTTGTTTTTACTTAATTATTCTACTTTGAAACTATACTAAAATTTAATTTTAGCATTTGTTTTTATGTATCCGTTTCTTCTTAATGAGTTTTATTATTAATGTTCGTTTACAATGTCGCTATTTAAACCTTCAACTTTCTAATTAAATTCATTTTTTTGTATTTGAGAATTTCATTTTAGTTTTAACATAAACTAGATTTTTAAATTTAGATTTAATTATTTTCTAGATTTTATTATTTAAATACTGAAAACATTAAATTTTTTATTCGTTGCTTTAATATTAAAAATACTTTAAATATAGAATTATTTTTAAAAGTTTAAAATATTTTTACATTAATTACGTAATACAGAAAGGGTCATCAATTGTTTATTTTTTTTTATCTTATATAGGGCCTAAACTAGTTAACTTGAATAATAAATATCAAATATTCCTTTTATCTTAACTGCTTTAATGGATAGATTTTAAAGATATTTTTCTGCATAGTCAACGAAAGAATATCTACAATAAATATTAAATAATTAAAATATATTCACTGTGCATTTAAGATAAACTTTAGATAAAGATTAAACGTTAATATTGGGTGTTTTAGATAGTATTCAACATTTATATAGTAGATGACACGTTCCAAACCGAGTAAAACCAGACTTTAGAAAGCATAGGTTCAAAACTTATCCGTTTCTGTAATATTAATAATTTTGTATATTGTATATTAGTATCATGACTGACTTGCACATATTAGTATCTTGCCAAATCTTCACCTCGATATTTACAGGTGTTTCACATATCTTCCTTCCATTTTCACGTCTTTGAGTCGCAAACTCTCAAATATTCCAGGTTTCTGTTGGATTATTTTTATAACAAACTGTTGATCTTTCGATCTATATTTACTAAGCTGTTTTTACTCAGTATTTTTTACTTATGTTTTAAATTAATTCTATTTTTACTAAAAATCTACATGCATTAATTTATAAGGATAACTACGGCCCCTAAATTTTCTCCGGACTTGGTAAAATCCCTAGCTTTCCCTATGGAAGACCTTAACCTTCACCACCCGGTCCCATTGCGACCCTAGCCGAATTTATGATGGATATGGGAAAAAGTTCTCTTAGTATGCACAGAGAAAAAAAGAGCAAATGAAAAAGTATAAAGTGTTCATCTACTAAATCTTTTTTTGATACCCGTATAAGCCATAAATTTCTAATATGCTTTAAGTATTACTCTGTAGCGTAGTGCAGATTGATAGTTTTGATGGTGTTCTTGTGCTTATTTTTATGTCGTGCTTTAAAAATATTATTAACTATTATACATGCCAGTTATTTATGGAGTCATAATGGCATTTTGTGTAAATATATGTTAAGAGAATTTATATTTTGTTTTTAAACCACAAGAAAAGTATAAATATAGCTATGATTTTTAATTTTGCATTTCATAAGCTATTCGGCTGGACTTCTATTGTCCATATTGACTGATAGGCTACTGTTCAGTATCAAGCACGGATTCACATAATAGGCAAAATTGATGTTGAGTATATCTATTAAGTTCTGGTTCTTCGCCAATTTAATTTTGTTTTTTTATATTTTAATTTCGTGGTATTTACTTTTTTTAGATAAAGAATCAGCAGAAAGTCACTTCAAGGTCAACTTTAAAGGACAATATATTAATTCTGATGAGAATTTTAATTATGTTGCGGTTAATTTCATTTAATTAATATTCCTTACAGTTTTAATATAGATATTATTGTGTCTTTATAAATGAAAATAAAAATGACACAAATTTAAAGTAAAAGCTGATTGAATAACCGAGGCGATTAAATTAAGGCATGAGACTGCTGTTTTGGGGATCCGGGATTGAATCTAGACAATCAATAAACACCAAATTTTTTCAAGGGTGTCTGTTCCTGATATATCAATTTCCCACTTCCCTGTTGGCCTGTCCCATTGTGGGCTAACAGAACCTAGGATGGGGTTGTTAAAGGGTCCTCTGAGTGCTCAGAAAGCTGATAGAGATTTTTTTAAAGTAAAATACACGAAAAAACTATAAAATCTTAAATATTTTGGTAAAGTTATTTAAAAACGTTACAAAATCGTTTATTAATTAAATGTAGCAAAAATAATTGTAAAGATAGAATATATTTATATGTAGTATTGATAAAATCGAAATTTATTCTAAAACTTTCGAATTTTTCACTTTTTAAATTATACAAAATTTTAAAGAATAATTATTTTTAATTATAATTGGAGAATTGTCAAGTGTGCAAGGTTTTCCTCTTAATATCATCAAGGCCAAGTTTGAAAATACTGACGTTAGCAGTTGAAAGATTAATGTGTAAGATCTCTTGTATGCCCATAGAATACCTAAAATATCTCCTAAAAATTATTATATTTCCAAATATATCTTTAAACAATAGTAAAATGCTAGTAAAACATTTAAGTTATAATTTTATCTATCAATGAGCAAATCTTTAAAAAAAACTATTAGATTTCATTTATAAATTTGCATGAATTTAAATATTAATTTTATTAACAATTAATTTTTTAGTGTTAGATGCATTTGGTAAACCATTCCCTGGAATATTTTATGGTACATTTTCAATGTATGGTAATTACGAACAGTGCTTAAGTACAGTTTCGAAGAACGAAAAAAGTGGCAAAGAATACTTTAAAGGTCAATATTGTTCAATTAGTTTAAAACCGGCTCTTCCACCGAAACCAGATAAAATTGTATTGCAAAAAGTTATGCCAATTTTTAAGGATTTTGTCAAAGAAAAAGACACGGTAAATTTTTTAATAAAATCTTTATTTTGTAAAATATATATATATATATACATTATGATGCAGTTTATAATAGAAATGTAATTTTAAAAAATAAAATTACAGCTTGTACGTTTTATTGCTTCCTATGCTCATCTCATGTATAATCTGTCTTTACGTTATGACATTTGCATACCTGATAAATGTACCAAGGAAGATATAAGTCTTGTGATTGATTATAGTGAGTACTTTACAGTATCTTATGCTTGTTAATTATGTATAATTTTCTTGACATTAATTAAATGTCTTCTACAGTGCAACAAAATACTGATTTCTTAAAAATAAAACTTGATTGGTGCGAAATTTATACTGAAGAAAAGTTGGATATTGTTCATCATATTTGCTCGTAAGATGTTTTACCATTATAAATTAATTATTTTATGGTTTTATTTTAAAATATATTAATATTTTTAATCAGATATTCTATAGCTGTTGTGTGTGGAATTGTTTTAATTGCGACTCTATGGCATTGGCTTATGATGAGCGAACACTTCAAAATAAAAACTGGTAAGTGTTTTATAATATGAAATTTATATTTTAAATTATAATTAAATAAGGATATTTATTGTAAATTTTAAACAATATAATAATTAAAATGCTTTGATAATTGATGATGGTTCGAAGAACAATGGTCAATATGAGTGATTTAACATAATTTCTGTAATTTAATGACCGTATATANATCTTAACTAAATTATAATTATTTAGAATATTTTAAATTTCAGCTGCAGATAAGTACGTGAAAGCATTTTCCATTGTGAATTCATTAAAATCTCTTACGAAATTCAATCATGAGAAATTATCGGCATTACATGGCATTAGATTTATTTCATGTGTACTGTTGATTCTTATTTATTCCTTATTTAATTTTGATTTGGATATATTCAGTAAGTATTATTACTTCTATATATATATAACTTATTTTTATGGAATTTAAATGGACAATGGACTTATATGGTTAAATTTACAGGTGGACTTTTAAATTTTCTCAGTTTACCGAACTATACACCTGCGGAATTGCTTTTGCACGCTTCATTATACATAGACTCATTTTTCCTACTCAGGTTTGTTGTTTTAATTATTAATTATAATTAATAAAAATATTTTATTTTTTAAATAAAAATTAATCGGCTGGATGATCGAGGAGGTTAAGATGCCAACCTACCTCTCTGGAAGGCTCCGAATCTATCCAGAGGTGCGTAAAAACCTAGAAATTTGGGGGTGGTCTTTCCTAAATATGTCGGATTCTTCTCTAACCATCCGGCTATTGTGACCTGAGTCCACAATAAGCCTTTGAAAAGTGGATTCAGGTCACTTTTTTAAAAAGTTCTTTGTCGGCACTTTTAAAAAGGTAAAATATCTCTTTTTGGGCACTTTTTAAAAGGTTAAGAGCTATTTGTGAACACTTTTAAAAAGGTAAAAGCTCTTTGTGGGCACTAAGAATCAAAAATTAAGATATTGTGTGGCCTAAGTGCTTGTACCAGATTTACGAAATTTATTCATCTATTTTCGTAGTTAATTAATGATTTCTATTAAACAAATCATAGAAAATTAATATAATTATTTCGTAATTTAATTGATTATATACTAAATTCATTGATAATCTGTAGTAGATTAAACTAAATCTAAATTTGAATTAAATTTGAGGAGGGAAAATCTAGGAAAATTCTTGTTTCGGGTTTAGAAAGTCTGTAAAAAACGAGTTCCAAATTGAATACATATTGACAGATTTAAGATAACGTTATAAATTATGGATAAAGCTTAAGGGGGAAAAAACATAATTGAGATAATTACATTATGCTAAACTTTAGTAGTGGCTCGCGGACCCAAAAAGTACTGTGGCTAAGTTAAAAAATAAATAAATATTATTTAGACTAATAATAGAAAATCAAGGTTTAAACATAATAATAAAACAATAAATATGCCAATTTTTGAATAATTTATTTTTTTGTTTAAACAGGTTTATCGTATTAATTATCATGGTTATGAGTAATAACAAGATGACAGTTTCAAAACATGTAATTACAATACGCATTAGCATCAATAAGGGGGGAAAACCCGATGAAAATTTAAAATTGAAACAAATAAAATGAATATAAAATACAAACCGCAAAAAAATTTTGAAAGTGTAGTGAGGCACTCAGTTCCATACATAAAAATAAACAGTTATGAGTACACTGTGAACGGGTTCCGACCGAGCTGACCCCGATGCAACGTATATTCCAACACTAGCAGCAGTGGCATGAGTTTCTAGGTCTAATACAGAGTATATGATATATATATATTTATGTAAAACATAAAGATATAGCAGAGTTTATAAGTGCTTAACAAGGATTCGCTGTACAGTACATACATGACCTTAATATATAACAAGTGAAACCTTGATATACATCACTTGTTTGCATCTGAAATTGGCAATAAATCGAGAGTGACGCTATTTAGAAGGACACTATAACGAGATTTCACTGTGTACCTTGTGTATATGTGTTTTTGTGTTTCTGTGTGATAGCAAGTAACTGTTCCTTTTAAACTCGTCATTTAAATGCATAGTTCATTACTTCAAATTTTTTTAAAGAAAACATTTTATAATAATATAAATATTTTGTATAATTGCATAGAAAATTGCTATTTAATAATGTTATGTAAACTGAACATTATACAATAATGAAAGGACAAATTTAATATTTTCTTAATTTAAAAAATTATAGTAGTAATTCAAATCTTTTGTTTTCCATTCCTAAAATAAGCTGTAATTACTTAACAAGATATAAAATTTTGAAATTGTCGCCGAAATATTTTATTTAAACAATAAACGTGTGTACTGATTGTAAGTAAAATTATATTAAACGCATAGAAAAGTAATTTTTTTTAATATAAAATAGGTCAAAATTAAGGTCATATTTTTGAATATGACCTTAGAAATGCATGCTTAATAGCTTTTTTTTTGCATTCTTTTAACTTGTTTTTATATGAATTAAGTTATAGGAAAGACCGGGGCAACTTCGGCATGCGGGGCAAGTTTGTCAAGCGCTTTTTTTTAAAAACAAATTAAAAGGAGACTTTGGTTATAGGTTAGGCAGTTGAGTTTTATTGGTGGCTTGTTGAGTGTAGTGTTTTTATTGTTCTCCAACAAGCGTAGTTGAATTATCAAGCAAATTTTCATTTTCGTT